GATGGGGGTAATTGCATCCACAGCTTCTGGGGTGCCAGCCATTACCATTTTTCAGATAACAACAGGTAAAAGCCATTAACCTGGAGGGGGAGTTTTTGGCTCGGGATGGTGCCCGGACGACAGGCCTGACACCTCGTCCTCCGGAGGCGGCCCGCCCACCGCCTCAAGGTCAGACCTTCGCCCGGCCGGATGAATCGAGTGGGGTTCTGCTTTATCCTCTTCTTTCGCTCTCTCTTGCATGACAGGGAGGAATTTGCCGAGGTGCATCTGGTCCTGTTTCACTAATGGTCTTTTGAAAGGTGTCCTTTGGCCTGATAAAAAGGGCTCCCGCTGGGCACAGGCAAAAGGAAAAGGCTCAGGGCAGCACGCAGGATGCATTAATGAGGCAATTTCTCCTCTTTTTTGTTTTTTCCCCCTCTTTTTATTCTCACTTATGCTTTTTTCCTGTATGTGTGTGTGTGTGTGTGTGTGTGTGTTTATTCCAACTTTTAGAAGAGAGAAGGGACTTTGAGAGCAAAGTTTTCATGTGATAAAAGAATGCAGCTTTTTATCCTAAACGAATGCAGCTCATTAAGCAGAACAGCATGATTTTTACCGCTCGCCATGCTTGCCGTGTCCCGGGTTGCCTTAGAACTGGCCCTGTGCCCTCAGAGCTCGGCAGTTCAGAGGTTTGGGGCTCGGGGGGACCCAACCTGTAGCTCCGCTCATGACTATAAACCTCCCATTGTGTGTCGGGACACCTGATCCTGAAAGCATAGTCACACAAATTGCTCTTTTGAAAGCTAAAAGCACATTTGTCCTAATAATCGCTGAAGAGTCATTTCTAATGGTTCGTGGCCATCTGTTGTATCTAACAGCCAAAGATTTAGAGGCCAGACATACAGAGCAGGCTTTAAGGTTAAGTATGAAAATCTGAGGGCTTTCTGTGCTTAAAGGAGAAGTATTACCTTTTACTACTTAAAAAAAGGCGCTAGCTTATCAACACCTCATGGTCTTAAAGAGTTAGCTCATTTAAAAATAAAAATGTTACTCTAAACCCAACTCAGTGTCATGAGGAAACATCTTTATTTTAAGTTTTGAATTTGTACAATTTGAGTCATACAAAAGCATATGATTTTTAGAAGAAGAAAAAAACGAAGCCTGAAGGTCCGACCCCTAGTAAAAAAGTAATATATTTAAAATACATTTATTTCAAGTACAGTTCAAATTTTTACTAACATATCGCTCGAGACTTGCTGATATAAAAATGATAATTAAACTTTAATTGGAGTACTACTTGTGCACAATGCACATTTCTTAAAATGTGTTTTAATGTCACTATTGATGAGGATTTTATGAACTTTTAATAATATCGGTCTTTAAATGCAAGATATTTAAAGTGTATCTAAAGTATACTTGCAATAGTTCCACTTTAGCACAATCAAATATACTTCAGTATATCTTTAGTTGGACTTCAGCACAATTAAAGTGCGTTAAGTACAAAATTAGTTGTTCCAGTTTAGCACTTTAAGTATGCCAGTTTAGTGTACTACAAGTACAGCTGTATGGTATTTGCTGGGTAAATGTATTTGTGGGATACTTAGCATGAAATAAATGTATTTTAAATACATTTTAACATTTATTTTTCACTAGGGACCCTTACCCCACTTCTAAACCTTTTGTTGGGCATAGGCAGATTATACGAAAAGGTATGAATGAGATACAAATTTATTTCGTTTGCCAAAATGGAAAATAGTTCCGAATTGCCATGATATTGTGTTATCCAAACCTTTTTGACTATCTTTCTTCAGTAGAAGAAGACATAAAACCAGAAAGTTATGGCAGAATAATGTTCGTTCTGCTCTTACATACAGTTCTTGCATACAGTGAAGGTGAATGGAGAACGGACACTGTCAAGCTCCAAAAGAGACAACAAAAATCACCATAAAGGATAACTCTCATTCACATTCAAATATGGAACATCAAGAATCATCAAACTAGGTTTGAAATTGCCATAGGCTCTTGCAACCGATCACATCAATCCAAGTTTGAATGTGCTGAAAGGGAAAATGAGATTTGATAGCTGTGGCAGAAGTGTTTGTCCTTTCCTTTACACAAAGCTATCGTGTGGCTTTAGGACACTTTGAATATAGCGCACAAGTCCTATGTATCTTACTTTTATGGTATTTTTGGTTATTTTTAAAGCTTGATAGTGTAGCTTCAGTGACACTTTCGTTGAATGGAAAAGAGCAGCTAACTGAAGAAGATGAAAAGAGTTTGGGTGAGAGAACAGGGACAGATTTTCATTTTTGAGTATACTATTCCTTTCATTTTTGTGTGATTTGTAAATGTGCTGCTAGTCTGACCCAAAGCAGGCACAGGGTGTCTCGAGTGGGTATCGCTTCAAATATCATGGCTGTCCAGGAAATTGAGGTGGTGGGCGTCACAGAAATGTCGCCAAACCAGCGGGGCGTCCCAGACCTTCCTTCCATCCATGGGACGTTGTCACCCCAGTTGCGAGGGGAAAACGGAGACACAGAAGAGGGTCAATCAAAGAAAAAAGAAAGGAAAGAAAGAAGCCAGGGTTCAAAGTTTGCACTCGAGGCCGGGTGTTTCTTATGCCTGTCCTGAGCTGTTTTTAATGCAGTCCGCCCTGTCGCTTGGTGCGAGACCCGCTATTGTGCACCTTTTGTTCCAGACAGCGGCCTGGGCTGAGAAGTACTTAGTCTGGCTATTCATCAGACTAGGCCGGCTCCTCCTCCAGAGAAGTGTTTGGCTACTATCAATATTGTTGCTGTCATGGCCCCTGGGGTTATGAGGCAAAGGGCTCTGCCACGGGGTTACTGGGGGGGTGACCGAGGCTTAGTTTGGTTATCCCACAACAATAGAGGTTGTCCATCACCTTTGGGTTGACCCCGCCTCGACCCACCGGAGAGGGTGACTGAGTGAATGGCAACTGTGACATTCTCACAGGCCTGTGTGCTTGAATACAGCAAATGGGAATTTCAGAGACTACCAACACACACACACACATTAGGTACACCAGATCCCCGATAGCCCTCTGTTCATACACGCATCTCAAAAATCTAAAATCTTCTTCATACTTACTTTCATCATAGCATAAGTTCATTTTTGTGTGTTTATTCAATTTGCTTATTTCACCTAAAAATGGTGAAATGTGTCATTTTTAAAATGTTAAAATCTTCTTTTAGGTCTGTTGAATACACAGAGTGAGCCAAAGTAAGCAATTTGTTGGTTGATTTTCCTGAGAAGTGTAAACACTGTGTCTCTGAGGCACTTCCAAAACATTTCTCTGTTTGCTTGAGAATTCCAACCAGCCCGGCATAGCAACACTGATGAATGATGAATAGAATTTGATTTAAATAAATAAATAAATAAAAACAGCAACATTGTGAAATATCATCACAATTTGAAATAACTGAATCAAATCATAATATGCTGATTTGGTGCTCAAGAAATATTTCTTATAATCAATGTTGAAAACAGTTGTGCTGCTTCGTATTTTAATGGAAACCATGATCCTTTTTGTTTTAGGATTATTTTATCAGTAGAAAGTTTAGAAGAACAGCAGTCAAATAGAAACATTTTGAAACATTATAAATGTCTTATTTTGATCAGTTGAATGCATTTTGGCTCAACCAATTTCGGGGCTGGGGCAGCGCTAGTAGATTTTTATGATTGAGTTATGAATGAAACTGTATAATTACCATATTAATGTACAGTATTTCAAAATACTTAAAAGGTGCAGTTGGACATCTTGGAAAATGCTAACTTTAGCCTGATAGCACTGAAAGCGAACGTCCCACCCTCCCTCCAAATCGCCGTCCAAAGCCATGCCCCCTGAACGCATGAACGCACACAGACCAGACGACCAGAGACAACATTACTACAATACATCATGTGTCATTCACCCGTGAGAAAACGTTATAGAACAGTTAGTAACAGTACTACAATGCCAGGAAAGAAGATCAGGTTGCTGATGTTTGTCTGCCATCATCGCTCTGTCTGCACAGCGTACGTGAACGCGCTGATGGCGTATCCTGTCTGTGCGAAACGGGTGCGCAGAGGTATGCAAATACATATGTTGACAGGCAGGTAGGAAAGTCAATCAAAATGCTTGATACAAGCATTTTAATTGGACGAACATTTCTTGGTCCTATACCTTCCACAGAATATATAAATACATATAAATACATTTAGACCACTTAACTTAATGATTGCTATCGGGATGTGAAGAGACTTTCAACCAGCATAACAAAAAAAGTTTCTGAAGACAATCACCTATTGCACCTTTAAATACTTAAAAGAAATCAATAGTAATACTGTTGTATGTGTGAAAAAAAATTGTAGTACAATGCTACTTTTTGGTACTTTTTTTGTTTAGTCTTTTTTGTTTTATAAAATGCAGTAGAAAGGAATTGTCTGAATAACAAAGTGATTTCTGTTGTCCACTAAACTATAATGTAAGCTTAGATTTGAGTTTTTTTTAACGGCATGAGAACACCATGTGCCAATTTTACGTCCACACACTTAAGAACACCTGTTAGAGCAGAATTCACCCAAAAGAAGCTTTTTGTGCAGAACACATCAGCTCTCCATTAGCTGAGCCGCTGAGTGATTTGTGGTAATTGCTAAAGGAATTTTTATGTATCTGAAGAGCAGACAGAAAACTGTTTCATGGCAAAAATCGTGATTTGTTTTCCATTTGCGATCTTAAAAAAATTAGCCAAAAATCCATTTGTGTGCTTTTGAAGGAGATGAGGGGAAACGAGCGCCAGAATGAAGTTACACTTTCATTGGAGAACTGACTCAAAGTGCTTTCTCTCAACCATGTGTAGCGTGTGTGGATGAGAGAGAGAACGAGTGAGTGACTCACATGGCAGAGTAATGGACATTTGTT